CAATGAAGGAATTTTTTTCGAATTTTTTCTTTGTTTTTATGGGGATCTACTTGGAATTCTGCACAAAATAAAGCAATACAATTTTACACCGCGCACCACTTTTAAATCTGAAAATCGCCCCCAAAAAACTACTGAAATCGACTGAGAATCAAATGACACTGGGATTACTGTAGAAAAAAAAATGGAAAATCTGAGAATCGCCCGAAAAACGACTCAAAATCGGCTGAAAATCGGTCGTCAGCTTGGATTACTGTAGATTACTGTAAGCTTACTTTAGGCGCTAGTTTCCTACGGTAAGTGGCGTTTGGGTTACTGTAGAAAACTTTTTTTAAGCTCAAAATCTGAAAGCTGTCAAAAAAATCCTGAAAACCCTTGAAATTTGGAGATTCTGGATTTTCTGGAAATTTGAAAATTTTTTGAGATTCTAAGGATTTGAGATTCTTAGTTTCGTTAGGATTACTGTAGATTACTGTAAGCTTACTGTAGGTAGCATTACTCTAGGCGCTATTTGATTATTGTGTCCTGGTATTAGAAAATTAGTGAAAACTCGAAATTCCGAGATTCTGAAATCTTGAAATTCGGAAATTTTGAGATTTTTCTAAATGGCGATAGGTATACTGTAGATTACTGTAGGCTTACGGTAAGCAGCATTTTTCGAAGATTACTGTGTTCTGAAATTCGATATGCTGATATTCTTGAAATTCTAGATGACACACTTTTTAGATTCTGCAAGCTCTGCAAATTCAGAGATTCTGGAACCCTGAAATTCTAGATAACGAAATTCTGAAAGTTTTGAGATTCTAAGTTTCTGAAATTCAGAATTTTTGAGATTCTCAAATTCTGGAATTCTTAAATATTGGTACTCTGAAATTCTGAGATTTCTAGATTCTGAAATTCCTGGGTCCTGAAATTTTGAAAATCTGAAATTCCTAGATTCTGGAAATCTGAAGATTCTGGAGATTCTGGAATTCAGAAAAGCTGAAATTCTCAAGATTCTGAAATTTCTAAATTCTGAAATTTTGAATTTCCAAACTTCCCGAATTGCAGAAGTGCTGGGACTTTGAGATTCGTGGATTCTAAATTTCAGACTTCTAGATTCTAAAATTGCGAAGTTCTGAAACTCTGAAAAGGCTCTATCCCAAATTCTCCATTTTTCCAGGGTCTGTGTGTCTATTGGACAGCTTCAAACGCCGTGTCTCTCATCTACGCAGCCGCCTTCAAAGTCGACGCGATTCGTAATATTTTTGGAATTCCGCCAGTCGTTCCAATGCCAAAAACCGCCGTACAAAAGTCGGCATTCTCACAGGTTCTCAAATCGTATAAAGGTGAGAATTTCGATTTGAAACTGGCCTAAAATTGACTGATAAAACCACTGACAGTAGCCCGAATTTGAGTTTAAAAAAAACCAAATATTGACTGAAAATGACCAATATGTGGCTGAAAATGGCCCGAATTTGACCGAAAAACCACGGAAAATTACCTAAATTTGGCTAAATTTGTCTCAAAAATTTTGGCTGAAATGGCTGAAATTTGGCTTGAAATAGTTCAAATTGGACGAAAAACGACACAGATTTGACCAGAAAAGGGCCAAAATTCGAAAATTCTGATTGCTCAGCGCTAACTTCTTTTTTTTAAAATCGAAAACGCCCAAAATTCGAGGTTTTTAAAAAACTTTGGTCTGAGTTATCTCGGTTACTGTAAGAGATATCAAAAAACGTATCAACTGATAAAATATTGGTAATTTTTCATATCTTTCACGGGAGCCAAGATAAATTGGCTCAAAGTGTGAGGGCCCTTCTAATACAGGTTTTACGGTATATTTTTCTCCCTAAAATTCAACGATTTTGCAGACAACAAATCGATTCCACCGTCGATCGCTGATCTCCGACAACGCGACGCGACGTCGTTCAAGAAAGCGGGACGTGGCAAACCGATCACATAATTATCGATTTTCAGCTTTGTAGTTTGTAGTTTTAAGGTAGAAAATTCCCTTTTTTTTTGTTATTTTTTGGCTTTTTGTTATCATTATCTCTCCTTGAAACATTGTATCGGTTCGCAATTTTTTTTTGAAAAATATGAATTTTGATTTTTTTTTAATTACTCTATCATATTATTCATCAGTCAACACACCCCCATTTCGCAACCCCCGTGATGAATCATCTCCAATATATTGCAATAGAACGCGAGAGAGCACTAGGAAAGAGGACGGGGTAAAGAAAAAGACACAAACACAATGATGTGTTTGTGTGTGGAAATTCTCTATTTTCATCCAATTTTCTGGTTTTTTTTGTTTTTTAAATCGAATTTTTTGAAATTTCGATTTTTTCTTTGAGTTTTAAACATCGATTTTTTTTCAAAAATTTGAATTTTCCCGCATTTTTAACCCGAAAATTTGAATTTTCTCACAGTTTTTTAGCTTTAAATATTAATGTTTTCCAGATTTCTCATCCTTGAAATTTGATTTCCCCCCCCCCCCCCCCGATATCTTAACCTGAAATTTTGAATTTTCCCGATTTTTCAAACCTGAAAATTTGAATTTTCGCCGAAAAAATGTAAAATTCTCAAATTTTCAGAAATCTCCGAAAAACCTACTAAAAGAACATAATGAATTTCTTCAATAAACCGGATCCGAAGGGTGAGATTTTTAAATAAAATTTAAACTGAAAAACTGGAATTTCAGCAGAATTGGCTAAAAAATCGAGAAATTCTAGTATAAATACGCTGTCAAAAACGATAATTTTGATGAAAAATGAATGAAAAGCGCTTCTAAAAACATGAAAATGGTTCCGGACTCGCCGAGGCTCCGCCCACAAATCGCTGAAATCTAAAATTTCATTGAATTTGCATATTGAAAATTCGTTTTTTTTTTCGTCGAAAAAACTAGAAAATCGGCAAAAAAACGAGGCAAAAATCTGAAACTTTAGAAAATTCCCGAAAAAAAGCTTGCAATTTAAGCTCCGCCCACTTTTCCACATATTTTCTTTTGCACATAAAACAACCGAAATTTCGAAATAATCTTTTTAAAAAACGAGCGAAAAAATCTGAAATTCAAGGTTTTTGATTATGTTTTTAGTGCTGAAAAGAGCCCTAAATTTTCTCGAAAACGCTGGAAAAATCCGCTGAAATCTGAAGAAAATGGTTTAAACGCGCCCAAAAATTCACAGAACTCGAGCGAGCCAACAAACGAGAGCTTCGCAAAACGAATCGCGACTTGGAATCGGATCGCCGTCAGATGGACCGTCGGGAGAAGGAGTTGGAGCAGGAAATCAAGAAATTGGCGGCAAAAGGGCATAACGATGCGGCACGACATCTGGCGAAGCAGCTGATTCAGTTGAGGAATCAGAAGACGAAATCCGTTGGAATGAGTGCCCGGATAAGTGGAATTCAGGCTCAGAATTCGTAAGTTTTTTACATTTTAGGCCATTTGAAGGAAGTTTTATGGGAATTTTTAGGTTATTTGAAGCTGTTTCATTTTCATTGCAATTTCATGTTTTGAGACCGTTTTTTACCGGTTTTGAGCTAATTTTTGACTATTTTGAGCTTGTTTTCAGCTATTTTAAGCTTAATGCTTTGACTTTTTCGCGCGAATTTTAGGTATTTTGAGCTACTTTTTTCTTTGACTATTTTTAGCTACATTTTTCGGCTAATTTACGCTATTTTAAGATAGTTTTCAGCGATTCTCAGTCAATTTTTACACCGAATTTGGACCATGTATTTTCAGACACATGCAATCGATGGCAAAAATGGGATCGGCAATGGGAACTAGTGTGAAAACGATGAAGGAAATGAACAAGCAAATGCCATTGGAGAAAGTCGCAGCGAATATGCGAGAATTCCAGATGGCTCAGGAGAAAATGGGTCTTACGGAGGAGGTTTGTCACGGGGATTTGGGCGATTTTGAGCTTTAGAAATTCTGAAAATTTTGCTCAATTTTCAGCGCTTTTCCGGCGGCAATTTTTTGCTGGATTTTAGCGATTTTTCTGTCGTTTTTCTCATAAAAATCGAGAACATTAGGAAGGCAAATACTCATTAGCTTGATGATCTTTTGCTAAATGCTCACTTGCTAAATATGCTCATTAGCTAAACTCGCTCATTTGCTAAAATAGTCTCACTTGCTAAATTTCATTTGCTAAATTTTGATCATTTGCTAGAGGATTTGTTCAAATTGAAGGCTCACTTAGTTAGGCTGAAACTCCTTACCGGAAAACAGGTGTTAAAGCCTAAGCCTGAAATTTAAAGCAAAAACCGGAATATTCTGTAAAAAATTCAGTCAAAAAGTACTGAAATTAGCAAATAACAGCAAAATTTCCACTTTTTCATTTTTAGCAAATGATCAAAATTTAGCAAATTAAATTTAGCAATTGAGATTATTGTCGGAATAAAAAAAGTGAGACTCGGTGTTTGCGTACTTTGATTCCCGCCTCCCCCCACCGACGCTCCGCCCATCGCTTTGCAAGTGCGGCGTGGTGTTTTGGCGCGGAAACGAAATCAGGAGATTGTGTTGCTAGACAGAAATCCAGCAGCTCTCAAACAGGTCGAAAGTATGCGTGCAATTTCGGAGTTGACGGGAACATCGGATTCAAGTGACACGAAGCTTTTGGCATTGGCGTCGATTCTCGCTAGAGAAGAACCGAGTGATTCGAGAAGACC